CACAAATGAACACCACTTGTGATTTTTGAAGCGTAAATGCCTTGGCATGCAGGCCTGCAGTATCTATTTTAATTTCCATTAGTAAATCAGCTTATTTCTTACAGCGGGGAATAAAGACACATTACAAGGCAGTCATTTATTTAGTTATAATTTATCAACAATATATATCCAGTTTTCCTTATGCCAACTTCAGCAATGAAAACGTCAAATTAAATGTAGTTCTTTTAATTTTTTTCACTTTAGGCATGTAGTTGCAGCTGGCCTTTCTATGTGCACACTGTTGTAAATGAGAATCTCACAGAGGTCACTCAGAGGTCATGTCATTTGATTAGTTAATACCGAGATTAGATTTGTCACATAAAGCATTTCTAGTTTTTAGAAACCTATTTGTTTATTGGCAAATGAGAAAACAACATTGATGTTTGTACAGCATATTCTAAAACTGGTCATCTGTTTTTAACAGTGCAACAAAAAAATGTAAGAGAAATATAAACTTTCATATAATTGAAACTATTCAACACAAAATTGGTTGCTTTTTTGTTTGTGTTTAGCGCATTGTCGCAACAGTAAATCATTCAATCTTTTCAATCCAATATGCTTTAGTCCTAGTTATTATTTTCAGTGTTTATGTAACCTCTGGTTAAAGCGCATTGACCGTCAGCTGTTGACTGAGTGTGACCTGTGACGAATTTACATCATACATTTCAGTGCTGATGATATGTTTTGTCAATATAACTGCTATCAGAAAACTGATGAGCATACAAAAAAGCCTCTGTAGGACATGATTAGTAATGTGAGAATTAAAACAGATCTTTGTGTGTGTGTGTGTGTGTGTGTGTGTGTGTGTCTGAGAATGTGTTTACCTGATCTGACTTCTCAAAGCTCACAGAGCACAAACACATTAGCAGATCAGCCGGTGAGATCGCTGACTGAGAACAAAAACAATGTGGCTAATGGGCCGTGGAAATGAGAAGAATAATGCCTCATGTATTAACCAGAGAAAGCCATATTGTTTGGCACAAGAGAGAAGTGACTAGCCTTTACTATACAGTTAGTCTGTGTCTGAACTCAATGCTGTGCTTTCTCTGCAGCTCAGTGGTGTTACCAGAGCCAGTACTCCTGTGACGACACATGCAGAGGTAAGAAATGAAAAGACTATCACATGTTTCAAGAGAAAACCCCCAAATGGTTAAAAAAACAACATATCCGTCACATTCTTGTTAAAAATTGATCCAAGCCTATTTTTGTATGAATTAGAAAGTTTTAATAGTTTTAGTACTCAATAACAATGAATCACTTGGATGTGAAAGGGGTCGCTCGTAATGATGAATCAACAGAATATTCACTCTGCAGTTTATGCAGCTTTAGCTTATATTCATAGTTGTATTTTCGACCACAGAAAGCAGCTGTTTTAAAAGAAAATAAAATTAGGAGAACAGACTGCAAATGAAGTTGAGGTTGTATTTAGTCTTCTGGATGTGTATAGGCAACTGTTAGCTCAAACATTTGCCCCATCATTTAAATGATGTGATTACATTCTTTTTGCATACAGTTCCATAAAGTTGCCCAATATACAAGACAATTCTTTAGAACACACACCTCTGGCCTTGTGACAAACACAAATCCAAAGCAGAGATGAACCAGACGAAACCTTCACTCCTGCTTTTAGCTCATTCTAAAAATAATTGAACATTTGGTTACCTAAGCAGACTTTGTGTTCATTCTCAGTGGGGTTAACAGTACTAGAAATCAAATAAAACCTGGAGGGGGAATTATATTGTGTATTATGGGTTTTTTAAAGTACTTTATGAAAGAAGAACATGTGTTCAGCCCAGGCTGACCTGTTCTCTCAGCATTTTGGGGGGAAATATCAGGCACTGAAGCCTAAACGTGATGTTGTTCATGTTTTCAGATCCTATTCGATGGGCAGCTCAGTTTCCCAGCTGTGGAGGACTTCGCCAATCCCCAATCAACATCGTCTCAACTAAAGTGCACGTCAACAGCGCCCTGCCGCCCTTCAACTTCATCGGTCACACCAACACTATCAACGTCACAGTGGAAAACAAAGGACACTCTGGTGATTAGGAGCCTGCTTTCTTGGTGTCTTTCCCTCCAGACTATTATTTACCAGTTGTTAACAACTCTCACAATTTAATTTTAACAAATGTATTCTCTTGGCTGTAGCTCACTTTGCTCTGCCGCAGTCGGTCCGTCTGACTGGAGGAGCTCTGCCCGGTCACTACCGAGCCGCCCAGTTTCACTTCCACTGGGGAGGCAATGGGAGACCCGGATCAGAGCACACCATTGATGGAGAGCAGTTCCCCATGGAAGTACGTCACACAGGAGCTGAAATGTTAAGCTATTTAAATATTAAAGTGACAGGGGTCTAATAGGTCCAACAGCTTCATTCCTCACTGACCATTGAGGGTCAATGTTTTACAAACATGCCGGAAATGCAACCATTAATTAAGTCTTCAATGTTGGTAGAAATAATAGACTTAGAAGAACCTGAAAAGTATTGTCAAGTTGTTTAGGATTTACATGAGCTGTGCATATTTACAGTATCAGTCAATGAGTAGAGAAAAATGCAACTACCCTTTATTAATACCTTTCCCCACAAAAATATACTGATATTTTAACAAATGTGTGTTTAACACAGTGCACAGTATAAAATGCTCTCCACTACTGTAACTCATTGAGCTGTGTTTTGGGTTTCAGCTGCACATCGTCCACATCAAGGAACCGTACGGCTCTCTGGCAGAGGCCGAACATGACATGGCAGGTATAGCCCTGCTTGCCTTCCTGTTTGAGGTAATAGAATACATTCATTAGTCTGCGTTACTCTGCACTCTTAATATAAATATAAAAGCACAATTTTGGCTTGTGTCATAATGTTGGCGTCTTCCTCACAGGAATCACCAGATGATAATCCTCATCTGGACTCAGTAATAGCTTCTCTTGGCCGAGTAAAAAACAATGGTATGAGTGAACTTCTCAAATGTGAAGAACTTTCTTCATATTAATGGACTTAGCCTTTGAAATAAATTGTTATTTTAAGTGTTTTACCAAACTAACCCTCTTTAAAAACACTTATTTGTGTGTTCAGCCAGCAGCACAGTGATCCCAAACTTCAGGCTCAGTGATATTATCCCGTCAGATAAGGACCTGTTCAGTTACTACCGCTATGTGGGCTCCATGACTACTCCAGGATGTGAGCAGGCCGTAGCCTGGACGCTGTTCCACAGGACGCTGCCCATCAGCAGCCGCCAGGTGAGAAACTATAGATTAAAGGCTAAGAGTCAACACACTGATGACCAATAATTGTTCTTGGTTGTATTTCCTCAATATGTGAACCTTCAAACATTTTTGACATAAAATAAAACAATTATTTAAAGACTCTTGTTAGTGAGACTGTAAATAATTCCTACATAACAAAATGTTTCGTAAATAGATTTACATCCCAAAATATATTGCAAAATGCACCTTTGGTTGGATGTTACTAATAGAGACATAAACCCTTTATCTTGTCTTGTATTCAAAGTGTGAAAAGCCTAAAGCCTATATTGCGTTTACACTGAAAACAACTTAAGCTAAACAGGTTCAGCAAGAAGAATTGCTGGTAGGATTTTATTTACTTTATAACAATAGAAGAGTTGCTCCAAATATTCAAGTAAACTAAACATTTAATTGAAGGGCCCATGAACCTTGTTAGATCGTTTTTTGGGAAAGCTTGAACAGATACTCTATTATTGAATCCCAAAAAAGACTTGATTAGATCAAAAGTCATTTAAATGTGTGCAGAATAAATGTATCTGTGCCTTGAAAACTAACCCTCGATTCACTTTAAGACACATCCATGTCATTTTTATCTTTGACTAAAAAAGGTTTATTTTCCTACCCACTGCAGCTGGATGCGATAACTCAGCAGTGTCGATTCTGGACGGGACAGCCCATGACGGACATCTTCAGACCTACGCAGCCTCTGGACGGCAGGGTGGTGTATCGGTCCAAGGCGGGCGCCGCTCTGGGGGGTGTGATGCACTGGTGGGTCGGGGTTTCCTCCGTCCTGCTTGGGAGAACCGGTCTGATACACTGACTCAGCACATCTGATTTTAGGGCCAAAACTACTTTTACCTGTGTGATAGTGAACTGTTCATAATGTTCATGGTTATTCTTTTTTTGTAAGTGTCAATGTGACATTGAGAGATGTGCTATTGTAGAATGTGTATTTACCCTTTTCCAGTAGTGAACAAGTCAGCTCTGTACTAGCTATTTAGGAGGAACAGGCCTGTTGACCTGATATCATCATGACCTCCTTTAAAGTCTGGATAATATGCAGTTTCTGTGTGAGTAGGATCTTTACCTCTAGGCCTTTATGTCAACTTTCCTTATTGTTGTCATTAGGAGTCAATATTTTATAAATGCAAACTGTTGCTATAGATTTACTCTAATCTGCTTTACCCTAATATATGTTTTACAGTAGAAGGAGAGTGATGCAAAAATGTGTATAATTAATGGTTCACAATAGGTTATGTTTGTCTTTCTATCAATAACAATCTGAGGGTCTTTCCTTTTTCATTAACTGCTATTTTATGTAACTTAGCCTGCATATTGTTCTCTTCCCTGACAATCAGAACTATCAGCCTGGAAAATTAGACGGTCAAGGCATTTCCTTAATATTCTGTACACTTGTTAATTTGTAGAGAAAACAAATGATTTGTAAAAAAACAAAACAGTGAATGTATTTAAACCCTTGTACAATCACAAAATAGACCTAAATAATTGTATGTTAGAAATGATATGATTTCGTTTTTTAAAGATAATACAAATTATTGATAGAATGTCAATAAAATCTGAACTGATTGATTTTGTGTCTTCAATCATTTCTATAGAAGTGTTTTGTATAAATACTTAAAAGTGTTTAGTTTGCCTTAAGAAAAACATTTGCGTTGTTTCACCTTCTCTTTTATTGTGTGGAGTTTATTAAGAGTCAAGTTTTGGGACTTATAATTGACACTGATGCTCTAAACGTAACCAATAAACTAACTAGAAAACCTATTTTACTGACATAGCTGTTACTTTGTGGAGATAGTCCATGTTTGAACAATTTCTTGACTTTCATGAATCAACAAATGTATTGTTATGCCAATAAACCTCACCACCTTGAGTCTGTGTGGGTTTGAAAAGAAAGATAAATTACCTTAATGATGTGTGGTGGAAATCAATCAGCTTTAATGACACAGCTGTAAAACATTGTTTCAGTAACATTTATTTATTTCGTAAACTATTTTACTCCAGCCCTTTGTAACAATTTCAAACATCCCTTGGTTAAATACCAACCAACTAAAATGAATGAATAAGTCTCTTGACCTCAAACTGACATTTCATACCAACCTAAATGTTGGCAGCAAACCTGATTCAAATTGTTATGGTGGAATTGGGTGGATGTCAATGCGTCTGTTTCTTAAGCCAGTCCCTCAGGTGGTCTAACTGTGCAGAAACGCTACTCTTGGCCGTGCCTCCAGGGGCCTGATATTGCTCCACACTGCTGCTGTAGTCCCACACCAAGGACACGTCACTTCCAAACAGAGGGCTAAAACCACGGTAGAGAAAAAGAAAGAGAGAGGAAGTTGAGAAAATCAAAATGGCTGGAGGAGAAAATAATGGGAGAGGAACTTATACTAATCCTGTTGCTTGAAAATAAACCAATGGTTGAGTTTGAATCTTTTAGCAGTTGTGTGTGTGTTAATGGGAAGAAGACAGTCACCTAAGAGCACTCAGGTCTTCCAAAGTGAGTTGATTCAGGGCGACATTTTTGGATTCAGCAGCAAACACCGCTTTTCCAGAGATACCATGGGCCTCTCTGAACGGCACCTACAACACAGGGTAACAAAGAAATACATGGAAAACTATAACTTGCTTTGTTTGCTATTGTCTTTATTATGGCTATCCTACATGTAGGAGTAGTAAGTAAGTAAGTATTGTTCTCTGCGGCACATGTTAAATAAAGTTACCAGAACTTTAAAAAAAAAAATGCCTTAATATATATAGTCAAGAGTTCTTTTTCACTTGGTTGAACAGTTGACATGAAGATGTGATAAATATCATAATTAATCCAAAAAAAAAAATGTCATCATTATTATCTGTGTACTAAAGTGAACTATAGTGATCGTAAAACAGCCTCCTAAGAATATTCACATTGTATTATTTGTTTAAAACCTTTATTTTATTTTAATCAAATTCCTTTATAAAGACTTTGTGGAAATATTCGTAGAAAGGGAAACACAACGTACCCCCTGCCTCACAAGGTAGTAGGCCAAGTCAGTAGCCAACATGTCCGGACTGAGGGCCGCTTGCATCACACTCTGGTTAATCTGAAAGCAGGAGACACATCGAAGGAATCAAAATCACTGGACTTCTGTTCGAAACAATTTCCCCTTCTTTTAAAACGGCTGCTTTAACAAAAAAGTCTCGATATCTCAAGTAGTAGAATCATAAAATATTGTATGCAATGCTATGAAATTGGTGTCTATAAAACATGCACATTTGGTTTCCGTTTCTTTCAGTGTGTCCAAAGAAAAAAGATAAATAAAGAAGTCAAGATTTAACAAAATATAAAGCCAAGCAGCCGCAACCTTTCAAAGTTATGAAAATGATCAACAACCTCCTGCAACAATGAGACTGAGCAGTGTGTTTTTTCTTTCTAAATAATAAACAGTGACTTCATCTCTGACCTTGAGAGTTGACATGACTCCGGTTGTCACTTGCAGAACAGCGTGGA